ATCCTCAGAGCAGCTCCCGATCCGGCCATCCTGCTCCGAACTCCTGCATAATCACAATTAAAACATGGTTCAGGTTTAGATTTGAATGCCCATTAATGACAATTATTTGTCCTTACAATAAACTAGGTTATGCAATTGTGTAATTTAAAGCAACACTACACTTTTGGCGAGGAAATATGCTTATTTAATAACTCTCCTGATCTGACAGGAGCACTTTTAGCTTAGCTTAGCATAAATCATTGAATCAGATTAGACAATTAGCATCTCACTCATGGTACGGCAACAAAGTCGTGTTTATTACGCCAGAATGAGGGTATAATTCTAGCCATATCTGCCTCGAAAATAGAAACTTTTCATTTTCTGTCTTTTAGTACAAAACTACAGAAAAATCAAGCTTTAAATAGGAAGGTTATGGAAAACATTTTTTGTTTTTACATTTTTGGAGCAAGATGCTAATGATCTAATCCGATTCAATGATCTATTCTAAGCTAAGCTAAGCAAAAAGTGCTCCTGCCAGACCCAGAGATCAGCTGAATGGATTTTAGAAACAGTGAAACTCAACTATTTAACTCTAGATAACTTTTAAAAAAAAAAATGAGCGAGTGTTTCTTTAATGCACAATCAAGCACATGCAGCAAAAAAAAAAAAAAAACCCACTATGATATAGCAGACTACATACAATGCATTTAAATATAATGTATTGCTCTTTATCTCCCAGCAGTCTGACTTTAGTAAGATAAGACATTTAAATTTCTCTTTAGTTCTATAGTTTCTCCCTCGTCTCCTTGCGTGTTTTTGTGGTTTGTCTACAGGTCAAAACCAAATCACACATTCAAATACAAAATCTCCTTCTGAAAACAAAACCAAACCTGCTTTGACAGACAAATACAGACAGCCTTACCTGTGTGTGTTCATTCACTGTGGAGATTCATTTGGCTGAGAGTCCTGATGGACAACAGTGCTTGGGTTTCACAGAAATCTGACACCGAGACACTGATACTGACGCCAGGATCAAATATACACTCTTTACTGGACTAAAGGACTCCAGTGGCCTAAAATTCACTAGATTTTAGAAGAGGCCTATCATTTATTAGCTGCCACATTTTATGTCATTTGTAAGTTTTACTTAATTGTTTATA